AGGGTGATGTCTCTGCCTTTTAGTATGCCATCTAAATTTGCCATAGCTTTCCTCCCAAGGAGCAAGCATTTTTTAATTTCTCAGCTGCAGTCCCCGTCTGCGGTGATCTTGGAGCCCAGGAAAATAAAATCGGTCACTACCTCTATTTCTTCCTCATCCATTTGTCAGGAAGTGATAGGACTGGATGCCATGATCTTATTTTTCTTAATGTTGAATTTCAAGCTAACTTTTGTGCTCTCCTCCTTCACCCACTTCAAGAGGGTCTTTAGTTCCTCTTCACTTTCTGCCATTAGAGTGGTATCATCTGCATATCTGAGGATACTGATATTTCTCCCAGCAATCTTAATTCCAACTGGTGATTCATCTAGCCCTTCCTTTCTCATTATGTGCTCTGCATATAAGTTAAATAGGCAGGGCAACAGTATACAGCCTTGCCAAATGCCTTTCTCAATTTTGAACCAATCAGTGGTTCCATGTCCAGTTCTCACTGTTGCTTCTTGATCCACATATAGGTTTCTCAAGAGACAAATAAGATGGTCTGGTACTCCCATCTCTTTAAGAACATGCCACAATTTGTTGTGATCCACACAATCAAAGGCTTTAGCATAGTCAATGAAGCAGAAATAGATGTTTTTCTGGAACTCACTAGCTTTCTCCATGATCCAGCATACGTTGGCAATTTGATCTCTAGTTCCTCTGCCTCTTCAAAATCCTGCCTGTACTTCTGGTAGTTCTTCATCCACATACTGCTGAAGCCTAGCTTTTACTAGCTCGTAGTATTTTGAGCATAACTTTGCTAGCATGTGAAATGAGTGCAATGGTGTGGTAGTTTGAACATTCTTTGGCATTGTCCTTCTTTGGATTTGGAAACTGTAATTGTAAACTGACCTTTTCCAATTCTGTGGCCACTGCTGAGTTTTCCAAATTTGCTGGCATATTGAGTGTAGTGCCTTAACTGCATCATCTTTTAGGATTTTGAATAGCTCAGCTGGAATACTGTCTCCTCCACTAGCTTTGTTGTTGCTCAGACTTCCTAAGACCCACCTCCAGGATGAGGAGGTCAGCGACCACCACCTTGTGGTTAAGATCGTTCTTGTATAGTTCTTCTGTGTAATCTTGCCACCTCTTCTTAATCTCTTCTGCCTCTGTTAGGTACCTACTATTTTGTTCCTTTATCATGTCCATCTTTGCATGAAACGTTCCCTTCTTATCTCCAATTTTCTTGAAGAGATCTCTGGTCCTCCCTATTCTATTGTTTTCTTCTATTTCTTTGCACTGTTCATTTAAGAAGGCATTCTTATCTCTTCTAGCTATTCTCTGGAATTCTGCATTCAATTGGGTGTATGTTTCCTTTTCTCTCTTGTTTCCCTTCTTTCCTCAGCTATTTGTAAAGGTTTCTCAGTCAGCCATTTTGCTTTCTTGCATTTCTTTTTCCTTAGGATGGTTTAAGTTGCTACATCTTGTACAATGTTGCGAACCTCCATCCATAGTTCTTCAGGCACTCTATCAGATTTAATTCCTTAAATCTATTTGTCACCTCTACTATTCATACGCGATATGATTTAGGTCATACCTGAGTGGCCTAGTGCTTTTCCCTACTTCCTTCAATTTAAGCCTAAATTTTGCAACAAGAAGCTCATGATCTGAGCCACAGTCAGCTCCTAGTCTAGTTTTTACTGACTGTATAGAGCTTCTCCATCTTTGTCTGCAGAGCACATAGTCAATCTGATTTCTTTGTTGACCATCTGGTGATGTCCATGTGTAGAGTCGTCTCTTGGGTTGCTGGAAAAGAGTGCTTGCTATGACCAGTGTGTTCGCTTGACAAATTCTGCCAGCCTTTGCCCTGCTTCATTTTGTACTCCAAGGCCAAACTTGACTGTTATTTTGGTTATCTTTTGGCTTCCTTCTTTAGCATTCCAATCCCCCATGATGACAAGGACATCATTTTTGCTGTTACTTCTAGAAGGTGTTGTAGGCCTTCATAGATCCAGTCAACTTCAGCCTCTTCAGCATCAGTGGTTGGGGCATAGACTTGGACTACTGTGATGTTGAATTGGATTTGAATTGGATTTAAACTGAGATCATTCTGTCATTTTGGAGATTGTATCCCAGTACTGCTTTTCCTACTCTTTTATTGACTATGAAGGCTACTCCACTTCTTCTGAGGGATTCTTGCCCGCAGTAGTATACCTGATGGTCATCTGAATTAAATTCACCCATTCCTGTCCATTTTAGTTTGCTGTTTGCCAAGATGTCAATGTTCAGTCTTGTCATCTCATGTTTGACCATGTCCAGCTTACCTTGATTCATGGATCTTACATTCCAGGTTCCTACACAGTATAGTTCTTTAAAGCATTGGACTCTCCTTTCACCACCAGATACACCCACAATGTCCTTTCGGCTTTGACCCAGTCACTTCATTCTTTCTGACACTACTAGTACTAGCTCTCTGCTCTTCCCCAGTAGTACATTGGACACCTTCCGACTGGAGGGGCTCATCTTCTGGCATTATATCTCTTTGCCTTTTACTACTGTCCATGGGGTTTTCATGGCAAGGATACTGGAGTGGCTTGCCATTTCCTTCTTCAGTGGATCACCTTTTGTCAGAGCTCTCTGCTATGACCTTTCCGCCTTGGGTGCCCCTGCACAGCACAGCTCATAGCTTCATTGCACTGCACAAGCCCCTTCGCCATGGCAAGGCAGTGACCCATGAAGGGGGATTATTATACTGTACTGCAGTTATTGATTTCAGAGTTTTTTGTTTTTTAGTTAGCTTTTGTGTTTGCTTTTTGATGACATTCACAATTAAATATCAGCAGAAAGAATGCCTACAAAGAAGCAAGCCCCACTGAGTTTAGTGGGACTTAGTTCCAAGAAATGTGTACTGGACTGTGAGCTGAGGCAGCTTAATAAGATCTCAGTGGAGGTACCACTCAGTTGTGTTGCTAACTAGTTATATAAATTAATAATATGGAAAAATATAATTCTCAGTCTCTGTGAGCCATTCCACAATGGCATGCTTCCTATCATGCTTTGTGCCATAAGGATTTAGGTGCTGCTAATACAACCATATATTTTCAGTATGACAGGCTGTTAAAGTTGTCCAAACTAGAATATCTGCTCTCTGCCTAAATTGTGAAAAATGGGGAAACACTGAAAGAATGTTGCTGTAGCCTTTCCTTCTGTAGCACCACCAACCTGTCTGAACAAATACAGTGTAAAGAACAGGCAGTACCAACTGCCAGAATAAGAGCTGGAAGGCAGAATATTTTAATAAATGGTAGCAGAGTCACAGCATCACTACAGGAGTGGAGCAGTGGTGTTGCAATACTCATAGGGAAGGAAGACTTGGTAGAGTTAACAAAAAAACAAACCCCAAAACGTCGAGGTTCCCTGCTGAGCTGATACGTCTTTGTTTCAGTCTTACATATGAGGTACAGAAGGCACACTCTCTATGACCTAACATAAGGATTTCTCCATCTGTCTTCTCAGCTATCCAGTAAAATCCATTTTCCAGATCTGCCTGAATTTACAAAGCCTAATGAAAGAGAAGGCTGCTGAAACCAAACTGAAAAGTATACTGTGAAAGATTCACCTAGTTATACGCAAGTCTGTCAGTACTCCACATATACACATGCTTTAGATAAAAATATGACATGAATTCCTGATTATGAGCACTGAACAGAAAATAGAAGACATTCAGCTGCTGGGTAAAATTTCCATGCCCCTCCCCCCACTTTTAACTAATGGGACTCCCGTGCTTTAAGCCTATTGTAACTAACAAATATTCAGGAAGTGAAGCTTCCAAATATAATTGGAATATTATTTACTGCATTTCTACTTGTCTCCGCTTTGAATCTCATTATTGTATTTTGAACATTCAACAGCATCATATCACATCTTATTGTTGATTATTTTTGTTTCTGGCAGCAAGCTTTCCTTAGATTGCATTCTACCATTTCTAGTCATTACTGCTGATTACTATTTCCAACATAGTTTGTCTCCCCTCACCCCGCAAACTTTCTATTATTACTCGTCCTGGCCTTCCTCGCTCGTTTCTATGGTATCCTCGTCAAACTGCTTGTATCCTTCATTCATCATCGCCTGCCAGACTCTCCTCACAATGATGTGTAATCCTAAAATGGAAGCTTTCGCTGTTATCGCCATGGGGACCAAACACAGACGTAAGGAAATATTAAACTGTTAAATCCACATATTGCAGATTGGGGTGGAAGAAAGGCCTAGGGCTGAACTACTTTTGATAACAGTGGAATAGAAAGGGCACTCCTACATGCTCCCACTATTGGTAGGACTCGCTTCGAAGTATTCCCCGGGCAGTCTACTGCAAATGCGCTCATACTGCACAGCTGGGTTAGAGATTACAACCATACTGTTGGATACATTATAGACACAGTAGTTTCCAGCAACCCTCACATAAAGACTTTAGAAATGATCGCCTCGTAATTTTTGGGGTGCGGGCGAATTATAGCACTATAGACTCAGGCCTCCACTGAGAACACGTACTAAAGGGATACAGGATATTTGGATAGTTCAAGTAAATATATTTGGCTAACAAGAATCCTTAGGAATGAAGTGGAATTATCACACAGTGGTGCTGAAATCAGCAAAAGGAAAAAATATACAAAACGCAGCTTGGGTCGCAGCTAAACTAAATTTCTTTAAATTGCCCCGTTGCCTTCCATTGTTCCCTTAAACTCACCTCAGCGCACAAACTGATTGCAAACGTGTTTTTTGTTTAATAATTCTGAATGGTGCAAAGTGGAAGACCCAAATCAAAAGTCACCCATGTGTGCATCTCTTTAATTGTCTATCTCTAGAACGAAACTCCCGCACCGTCTTTGGCAACCCCTACGCGATGACATAAGCGTTCAAAATGGAGGCGCCCACTGCTAGAGAAGCGGAGCGAGTGAATGACTCCAAAATGGCGGCTTTCCCGCGAAACAATTCAAAATGGCACCGCCCATAGGGCGGAGGCTTACTCCAAGATGGCGGCCTTTAAAGCTTTAGGTAAGCGAAGAAGCTACTCCAAGATGGCGGCTTGTGGAAGCCTACAGCTACTCGGAGGTATCCGATTTTATAATGCGCGAGCGCTGCGGCGGCAGTTGGGAAAGATGTACCTGCCGGATCCTGCCGACCCTCGGACGCCGCCCTTCCAGTTGACGGCCGCCTACAAGGCCAAGTTATTCGGGCGTTATGGGGCGGCTTCTGGGGTCAATGCGGCTCAGCTCTGGCCAACTCCCGAACAGCTCCAAAAAATAGAAGCTGAGGAGAAAACCTGGTACCCGCCGCTAAGAGAAATGGAGATGGCGCTTGATGCAAAGGAGCAGGCGGCCGAAGCTAAGAGACGTCAGAGGTGAGAAAGACGTCGAGGCTGAGCCCCAGAAGGTGTAACTTGGGATCTGGGAGGAGGGAGTCAGTTCCTCGGCCCTAGCCAGGGGCAGCTGCTACCAGCTGTCTCTTTCTGGTAAAACCTCAGTGCCGGTTTTTTATTAGGAAAAAAATAATTTTCCCGCGTGCAATAGGATTTACTGCAAAGGGAGGGAGTATCGGGGGCCACACGGGATTGTTTACCCTGGTCTTGAATTAAGGGGCAAGGCGCCACCTCCTGTTTTGTGCATGCTTTCTTCGGAGCACGAGTACTTCGACTCCAGCCGCAAGCGCGCGTTTTCTCCGTGGCCTGAACACCTAATGCTTAACGGCCAGTTTATCTTCACAATAGGCTATTGCAGGAAAGAGTGTGTACCGGCAGGGGGCAGGGATCGAGCATTTCAGGCCAGCGTCTTTGGTGTGGGATGGTCGTGTTTCAAAGACGTGTTTTCGCGTTTAAATAAGCTGAGGGGTATGAAGGAGGATGTATTGGAGCATGGGCAACAAGAAGGATAGACCAGCTTATCAAATTTTGTATAGAGAATTGGGGAGATACCCAGTTAAATAAGCATTGATTGTGTCTATTTGATATTTTTCTGGGCTAGGAAACAATGTAAAAGCAGAAAAGAAGGTGATGCAGGACCAGCAGTCTCTAAACCTGAAAGTATTTGTACACTTTTTTTAAACGTATGCATTTCTATCCTTTAGAACCGGGAACATTCCAACATTTTGGAGCACACTAGTAGAGAGATGGGAGTGGGCATTCAGTATGACTTTACAAATGAGCTTTGGCCCACGCATTTCAGAATTATGTGCCTAAGAAAGGCATGCTAGGGAAAAGGACAACCAGATCTCCCAGTGTTGCTTTGCTACAGGATTATAATCAGAGAGTAATTGTGTTTACCCCAGGCATGGGCAACTGACTGGGAGTCATCAATATGCTGTGGCACAGCTTTTGCTCCTCTTTCATTCAGGTGAAGTCACAGAAATGTTGAAGAGGTACTTAAGGTTAATATTAGATCCAGATAAAATGGAGGTGCTGTTAGTAGGAGGCTTGTCAGAACAGGAGGGCAATAGTTAACCCCTGGATGGGGTTGTGTTCTCCTTTAAGGAGCAGGATTGCAGGCTGGGTTGCTGTTAGAGCTAGCCATTGCATTTGATGGCCAGGTGGCAGCTGCGACATAAAACATTTTCTCTCCAGCTTAATCTGGGGTAGCCCCTACAGAATAGAGAGAGAAGTCACTGTTACCTATGCACTGGTAATCTTCAGATTAGTGTATGACCATGTGTTATATGTGGGGTTGCCTTTGAAAACTATTCATAATTTCTGCTGATAGGAAAAACAATAGCTAAACTAGTAATTGTTCGGTCAGAATTCTCACAAATTTTCAGTGTTGTAGTTTCTGGTCATTTGTAGCATAACTCAAATATGCAGATCTTAGCTTGGGTCCCAGATATTAAACAAGTGCCTGCTCCATATGACTCTTGTCTGCTCATTAACACAGCCATCCCCAACAAATCTTCATGCTAGCTGGGAAGGATGGAAGTCCAACACATCCAAATGGCATAGGTTGGAGCAAGTTGTGTTAAATCGAGATGCTTTTTTCTGGCTGTCCCTTCTTCAGAGGTGAGGCACATGGTGGCTGTGAGAAGTGGCTTTTCTATAGAGGTGCCCCAACTTTGGAATGTCCTTCCCAAAACTGCTGTATCTTACTTCAGTTATAAGAGCTATGGTAAAACAATTTTGTTTTTCCAAGCAAGGATTTTTAATTCAAAGTCAAGTGGACATGCTTCTAGCTGCTTTGTTTTTACTGCCTTTATGGAGTGTACTGGTTTTCCTGTCTTATTTATACAGCTTATTGATGGCCTTTTTATCACTGGTTAAAAAAATTATTTGATGCTTTGATGTAGAGTGTGGATAAATCATCTAAAGTAATTAACCTTTCAAAGCTGCTTCTAGTCTTGTTTTCTCAGTTTGTGGGATGCTGGTATTTGACATTCTGTTCTTTCCAGAGAGGAGCACATTGCTGCTAAAATGGCCAAGATGCCGCAGATGATTTTTGAGTGGCAGCAGGAGAAAGAGCTCCGCAGGGCAAAGGAGAATGAAGAGAAAAAACGGCGGGAGCTGCTACTGGCTGAAGCCCGTGAGCGCTTTGGCTATAACCTGGATCATCGCAGTGCCCAGTTCCAAGAGATGATGCAGGAGATGGAGAAGGCTAGACGGAAGGAGCTGAAACTGCAGAAGAAGCAGCATAGAGAGGAAGCCCTGGCCAAAAAAGCAATGGAAAAAGCAGCAGCAGCAGCAGCAGCTGCTGCCTTGACCCCAGAAAAAGAGGGGGAGGTGATTGCAACAGAAGTATTACAGGAGGCCACATAGATTATTGGGTCACAGGTCTCTGAAGTAAGTGCACCCTCCAGGTTGTGACTTGACTTTACAGCTCTGCATGGTTCCCAGAGACCCAGCACCTCTGTTGCAGCAGTGTCCAATATGCAAAAATAGTTTAGCAAAAACAGGATTCTGAGTAGCAAGCATCTTCTCAGATTATATCTCTGGATCCCTTATTATTTTTGCTAGTGAATCTCAAGGACGCTGCCAAACTTTGACTGTTTTCTCTCCCAGTGCCATAACTTAGTTTTTTTCCAACTAGCTAACAGAAATAGTGTGTACAATCAATAAATCTACTTGGTATTTTAACTTTGGTTTCTGAGACTTTAAAAAAGCACTGCTCTTAGTCCTATTATTTGCAAACCATAAAATAGAATAAACATATTCATAGGACTGTTCAATAGATGTATGACCTGAGCATTTAGTGGGCTCCTTGCTTGGGGCATTTACTTAGGTAAGGTTGCAAATTCAACTTGGATAAGAATTTTATGTCTCTAGCACTTGCTTAGACATCTTGGCAGCTGTAAGTGGTCCATTGTGTGGTAGTGGGAAAAGCTGCCTTTCAACATGACCTTCCATAGCTATTAAAGGCAGAATACTGGCCATTAGTGAATCTGGAAAGCCTAACTAAGCAAATACAAACAGGACAGGAAGCCCTTTGTGTCAAAGTGGTGAATCCACAGGTTGGTGGTGTATATGTATGTGTGTTTCATTTCTGCACTTGGTTCCTGACTTGTTTTGAATTCCCAATCTGAGCTTTGAATGAGACTCCAGGACAGAAGTATGTGATTGGTAATACTGTGTTTTGAGTTTTGGCATAACTTTCCCCATTGTTTCTTCCAACACTTTCCAGTGTTTAGGCTTAATAGGAGGTATTACAGTTTAGTATTCCCAACTGAATGCTGGCATCATACAGCCAGGGCAACTCTCTTCATCAGCTCACCCAGTTTGCTTCCGCAAAACAGATGCACAAACACTGGTTCAACTCTTTTCCTTGCAGATAGTGGCAGTAGCTACTGATCACCAGAGCTGCTTAGGAAGAGTGTTACCGGTTGCAAAGCTTCTGCTCAGTAGGAGCATGCTGGAAGTGTTCAAGCCACATGCACCCTGTCCAGGCAAAGTTCTCCCACTATCCTGCTGTAGCAACTGCTGCATGTGGCATCCTGTAAAAAACTGTGTGTGTTGAAAAACTCCCCTCTGCATACTAGACAGATCCAGAGGGATTGTATCACTATGAACTGCCTCCCTCTAGTGGCACAAATTTATAATCTATTATATTGCCATGTTAAAACAACCACCACCTTGGTGTAGGGTGATCTCAGTGAGCATACAGACAGAGAGGAAGAGATGAGAACTAAATTCTGTGAGAGATGCAAGTTGCTCAAAATTCTTGAATGTACTTGTTAGGAAAAGGTGCTTTATCATAGAAGAGTTGAGTTGGAGAGCATCAGAGGGCCATCAGGTCTAACCTCCAGCTTGGTACAGGGTTAGGGTTAAGCTATCCCTCTCAGATGGCTTAGATGGCTGTCCAGTCTGGGAGAGCACACAAGCTCCCTAGCTCATTAGTTCCATTGGTGTACTGTTCTAATTTTTTCCTGATGTCTTAACATTTTTCCTTGTTTGGACATGTATCCCATGTGATGCATTGACAGTGTCTGTGCCTGTCTCCCTCTTCCCCTCCCCCACCACCACATGGATGCATATTAAAAGCAATTCCATCACCCTCCTCTATCAAGCCTTGTTTGCCCAAGAACAGCCAGTGGATTGGTGAGGTGTCTCCACCACCAAACAAGTTGAAATTCATGTCACCTGTGAGAGAGCTAACACCTCTCACATGCTATTTCCTGTGGCAGTCTGATCACCTCTTCAGCTATAATAATCCTGTGTCCACAGACATAAGGTAAGAAATAGCCTCTAAGTGTTTGTATTTATTGGAGAGCTATAAATGCTATTCCTGGGGGCAAGGAGGATGCTTAACAGATGGCCAACTCCAACCCTTTAATCTTTGTCATATGACAGCAAAGCCCCTTTTATGCATCATTTTATTGTTCATACATTTGCCATAAGGTAAAATCACCCAGTATTAGAACCAAGATTTCTCTCTACAGCTCTTATTAAACTAGAATTAAATTACTGAACTTTTTCTTTAAGCTGGAAACTCATCTTTGCCCTATTTCCTTCCTTACCCTGTGGCAGTACCAAGAATGTCTGTTTCTCCTTGTATGAGGCATATTGGAGAGCTTCTCCCTGCTCCCAACACATGAGAAGCCCTTTGTTTTGTAATGGTGGCCCTGATTCAAGCAGGAGTTACTGCCATATCAGTTCAGTAATCAGTTTGTTAGTTCAACTATGTCTGAACCTCACAATGGATAGCAATTGGGCTGTTAGGTATTTCTGCAACTAGTATGTGTTCTCACTCTAATGTCACATAAAACAATCCCTTTTCTCCAAAACTGAATAACCTCTAGTGCAAGCGTCCTCAAACTTTTCAACGGGGGCCAGCTGAAATGTGCTGGCGATGGGAACGGGCTGCCAAGGTGGTGCGGACAGGGGGTGCAGGCCGGTGCGGGGTGCGTGGAGATCGTTTTCTCCGAGTGAGCCCAAAATGATCTCTGTGTGAGCAAGCCGCCACCAGGCATGCGCACTGTGAGGCAGTGGCTTGCTCACATGGAGATCCTTTTCTCCGAGCAAGTCCAAAATGATCTCCACATGAGCAAGTTGCTGCGTGCACGTGGCAAGTCCAAAACCACTATGGCAGGCCAGATAAATGGGCATGGTGGGCCGAATCTGGCCCACAGGCTGTAGTTTGAGGACCCATGCTCTAGTGCATCTACCACTAATGTTCATCTCCCACTGTTAACACATAATAGCGTGCAAGATGTGGGGATTTGCTGCAGTATGCATTTAACAAATGAGAAATGAAGTCGAAAATATGCTTGTCAGGAAGAGGCTGCCCAAAGAGGATGAGTAAAAATATACATGTACACACATGTTTAGCAATTGCAAGTGTTCTAGTAGGATTATTTAGCAGATATTGTACGGAACCCAAGGCAAAGAACACCTAAGCTGGCAAAACCTGACATTGTATTTAGGAGTTTCTACCTCATCCATGCTGTGGATTAGTTAATGCCATTGCAAGAGAATTTGAAGCATGGGAGAAGGAAGGAAAATCAGCAGAGAGAGAATGCTTTTACCATGCCATTGCTCTCCTCCACAGCAACAGTTTTCCAAGGGTCAGCGTTAACATGTACTTTTGGGGTCAGACTGCAGGTGAGTGTGGTGCCATAGGCAAGGAAACATGAAACTTTGTCCCTTTTCTGCTTCTCTGCTTTGCCTTTATGTACACAAGTCATTTGCATCGCAGATACTCTTCAAATGAGCAATACTGAATCACAACAACCTAATTCAGCATCCTTCACATGCATTTCAGCACATCTCTTAGGCAGCAGCCCTGAGTAAAATAATGGCAAGAAGAGTTCTGGCCAGACAGAACTATCAATGCAGGCATAGAATCTGCCTTCTTACAAAGGAGCAGCGTTGCTGAACATGAATAAAAATATGCATGCATGGTCTTTGCATGCCGCATTGATTTTAAAGAACTCATTCCCAGCAAAAAAGATAACAAATTCAAGTATCTTCTTCAGCTGTTTCAGCCAGGATGGTCAAGAATGAAGACATACCAGCACAGTGCTGGCCTTTGAATAGACTGACTAGAAAATCAGTTCATAATTGCCCTGCAGCTGCTTCTGAAGCAGTATCTAGCTGCTACTTGACATGGTTTCATTTTTAAAATATTTAACTGCACGTAGAACAAATGTGATCAGCTGTTTCCTACTTCAACCATCTATCCTAAGTTCACCTGTACATACCCCAAATGCATGGAAACATCTTGTTCTTCCTTTCCAGGATTTGGAAATGTCCTTACATGGTGACTGAAAGATCAGTCTTTTAAAAGAGAACAAACTCCCTGCACTTTTGAAAATCAAGGCCACAGCAGAAAGTAGTTTTTCCATCACTTAAAACAAATTCCATTTCCAGTCAAAGATACAGGTCTTTGCCAAATTATTTGCAATCTCAAGTAAAACACAATGGTGACAGAGGGCTGATGGAGGTTGTTAGAGAGAAGGGGCTGAGAAGGAAACTGGATAAGGGCTTGCCCACACATACTAAGAAATTAAAAAGTGCAACAGTATCATCAGGTTATTCTCAAGTTATGATGCAACTGGAGGAGGAAAAAGGGAGGACTCATCTGTATGTTTCTGAGAGAGGAGATTTATGCAGATGGACTGCTCCTTTTAGCTTCACTGATTAGCAAGCAGTATTTCCAAGGTTGGTCTTAGGAACAGAAATCTAGATGGGTAGAAGCACTTCTATTCCTGCACACCATGTGCCAAACATCAGATAACCAACTAGAATGACGGGTGGCCAGAAACTCCTCCAATGGACCCACCCAAGGAGGGAGGTAGCAGCCCAAGCCCTTGTATTTTGGCAGGTTCTCTCTTTGGTCCACGTGCTCCTAAGACAACAGTCCACCCCCTTCTTTCAAAGCAGAAGGCAGAGATTGCTTTATTCCCTAGGAAGGGCTAGCTCCATCTGCACCATTTTCTTCCTGGCTGGCCTTGAGTTTGGACAGTACAGCATGGATCCGGAACAGGGTTCGTGACTCCATTGAGTAGTTCTTGAAGTTATTCCTGTTGGGAGAGGCATTCAACTGCTATTATATCTCAGACATCTGAAGTATGAACATACTGAACTCATACAGTACTCAACATTTTTAAATGGTGCAGACTTTGAGTTAAAGTTTTTTTTTAAAGTCAGCTCATATGCTTTGCATAGAGGTTGGAAGTCAAGCAAATTTGCTTCTTCTGTAGGGGGGGGTTGAGGGGGTCTACAGGGAGCAGAATGCTGAAACTCTACCTCTGGCACCCTTACTTTAGGCCCCTCTTCATGGATTTCAACATTCAAAAACTGTTCTTCAGTCAGGATTTCATAATTGAGAAATTATTTTCAAGTTTCCCTACTACAAGGGCTCCAAATAATAAAATGAGTAAGAGCTGATATTCAGTTCCAGATATTAAATGGCATTAAGTGTGACATATACCTTCCAGTCAATATATATGTCATTATATTCTCTAGCCTGTGCCAGTTTGGCATTTTATTTTTTTATATATAGCTTTTGTATGCCATCCTTTATTTTTTATTTTATATATATATATATATATATATATATATATATATATATATAGTTTTTGTATGCCATCCTATTATACAATAATTTCAGGATGGCTTACAATATTTAAATATGTGCTTTATTTGAAAGTTTATTTAAAAAACTATAAGGTTGCAAAGTGATAATTATTTTTCTTCCATTTTCCAAAAACAGAACTTCCAGATAATCTTACAGGTAAACCACAATTGCATGCAATCTCAATCAAAACTTTGTTTAAACCACAAGCACTCATACTTGCAAAATCCTTCTTACTGAGTCATACTGGCAGAAAGGCTTACAAAGTCCTAGTACTCATGAACTGAGGTTCTGTGGCCTGCATGGCTATGGTACAGATTCTGTTGGTTCTGAGCCATTCCTTGGTTACTTCTCTATTGACAAGTCTGGAGGAGCCATGGCACCTGAAGGCACCAAGTTGCGTAAGTGACCCCACTCGGGTTGTTAGGCTGCGCAATCCCAGCATAATCTACCTTTATTCATATGACACAACAACCTCTAAGTGAGGCCTGCATAGTCGAAATGGCAGCCAGGCTCACCCCACACATGGTACAGCCTTGCCACGAGCTAAACAACCAACAGTGGGTTGTTGTGCCATGTCAAGTCCCCATTAACTCCCATTCTCTGACCACTTGGTGCCAAAAATCAAATCTATATTTTATGCAAATCTCCATATCAGATGCAGAATATGACATACTCGTTGACTTAATGCTAATTAAGCAACTTTGCATCCATTTTAATTTTTCCTGAGCAGAGTGTTCGATCCTGAATTTGAGGAAAGTTTCAAGATCTAGCAGAGGTTTTTCCTGAAGGAATGTGGAAGAGCTGATTGTTGCCAATTCTCTTTTCCCTTGGCAGTTTCCCAAGACTCCAAAGCAGCTTCTCCTGACTACAGGAAAGAAAAATAATCGGTGACAATTGCCACCCACCCCATTTTCTCCAGCAGGAACATCCTAAATATTGTATTTAATATTAATCTTCATACATTCCAATGGATTTACTCTGAATAAGTCTAACATTAAATACAACCTTGGATTCAAACCATTTGTGAAGAGCAACAGCTATAAAGGAGGGTGATGCCATCCAAGCCTATGCAAAGGTTACACTAATCGGTGTTCCCTAACCTCCTCACATTTATTTATTTATATGTCACCCAATAACTGAAGCACTTGGGCAGTTAATGAGAGAAAAACAACTTAAAACCACAATAGGGATTGCAATTGGATCAGCATAGAAACAACAGTGGTACAGAATAAAATGCAATTTAAAAATAAAGTTCAAAAATTAAACTGTTAAAACACTGGGAGAATAAAAAGCTCTTCATCTGGTGGCAACAACAACAACAACAAAAATACAGGTGCCAGGCACATCTCTTTAGAGAGTTCATTCCACAACTGAGATGCCACAACCAAAAAGGCCCTCCTGGTAATCGCCTACTTCACCTTCTTTGGAAGGGGTATGTTGTATCAGTGGCCCAGGATGGCTGGCAGTCACGGAAGTTGCAGTCTGACAAATCTAGAGGGTGATAAGCTGGGGAAGACTGCCCTGAGAAGATACATGGAAAAGTCGCTATTTCAGAGGAACCCAAATCTCCATGTATGAGGCTAGGAAACAATTTTTCCGAGGAGCATCTGATATCCTGTAGGTACTGTCCCGTTACTACGATGTTAGCTTCCTGGCTTTTCCTCAAAGCGAAATACTATGGGATAGGCCGAATGTTCACTTACTTGGCCTTACGAAGTAGCTGCACAGCCTCTTCACTCCGCCCTTGTGCCACATACAGCAGGCTCAACTCCAACATTGCGTTGGGTACCAAGTAGTGATCATAGCGGATCTTCTTTTCACTGTACACAGATAGGCATGCAAGAGAGAAGAGTGTCTTTTTGGTTGGAGGCCCTCACGTTGGGAATATAGTAACAAACCATGGCACCCAGGTTAAACCATGTTCTTGGTGGAAAAAATATTGCAGAAATTGAACCAGATTAGGGGGAGGTTTGGAAAGCCTTTCTGCTGCTCCAACCCCAATTCTTCCTCCCCCCACCACTTCCCAAACCCCCATATCCTCTGCCAAAGTGTTTGGGAGCACTAGAGAATCTTACCTGTTTTGGACAGCACTAAAGCAGGCCTCAGCTTCCGTTGAACTATGCAAGTGCTTGAGGACAAGGCCTTTGAGGAGTAGCACCAGACACTGGTCATCTACCTGGTACTCACTGGCTGAGAGTGTTGGGGGAGGTGGAAGGAAAAATCAAGTGAGAGGTGGACCAGCCTAAGCAGTTACTGCCCTACCCTTGTTTCCCTTTAACAAATACTTGAAGAGATGTCCATCCATAATGCTTACATAGCAGATGGTTCCCTGCTCCAGCCAGAAAGCCAAGAAGTGAATCCGAGATCTTTCTCCACAAGAACACTCTGCCATCCATGTTACTTGTGAAGGCAGAACAGCCACAATTTGTAACAACTGGCCAAAAAGTGGCAAGAGGAGGGACCCTCACACAAACATTGACTATATTCCTGAGGGCAAGGAATGTCTTATTAATATTTATAACTTACTCTGCAAGCCATTTTTGGTTGAAGAGCAACATAATAGTGCTGCAAGTAAACAAATGCCTGATGCTAGCTCACCAACTGTGAAAAAAGCTCCAGAGTTTATTTCTGAGGACCAAAGAATCTGTGAAATTCTAACTCTATCCTAATACAAAATTAGCCTAATTTTGGTTGAGTGGTTGTTGATCATGCTAAGGAGACAGGTTTCTAAAATGTTATGGCTTCAGGCAGGGCAAAAATATGAAGAAAATTTCTTCCTAGAACTTGAAAACAAGAGATAATTTTGCTATGAAAAATAGTTCCTAGACTTTTAGTTCAGCCCATCATCCCTGATTTACAAGAAGAACACATCGATCACAACACTGCTGTACGTCTTTGTTGTGGGCCGACTGTAGCACTTGTGGAATATTATGGTGCTTCCAGATTAGGGTTTTATTGTGCAACCACACTGCCTCAGTGACAGTCAGACATTGTCTGCCCTTGTTGTATCTTGCTATTCCTTCTCCATTAAGAAGGAAAACACTGAAGAGATGCACAATGTCTTTTGACTAGTAGTGCCAGAAGCCCTCCATCCTGAAGCACTTTTAATGCAAACATTTAACTGGAGATACTTCGACTAAATATCTATATCCTACCCTCCACTTCGTTATTTCCATGAAAACAGCATGTTACCTGGTGCCTCTTCTAGTTGTTTCTCAGCCCTTAACAGGGTGTCTAGAGTTCCTTCTAGCAGTTCCTGTCGCTTGCCCAGAACTGTAAATCCATTCCACATATACATCATCTCCTGGAAAAGCACAGCCAAGGAATTATGGTGACCGCGGTATTTTGGGCTTGGTGGGCAGCAGTTTGCTGCAATACATCAGCAGGCAAAATCCAGAAGACCTGGCTCCTGTCCTCCCCAAATTTTAACAGTATTTTATGTATGCTTTAAAGAAAAGTGCTCGTGCTAGCCTCATTTGTTTTAACGGAAAGGGCCTCAATCTGAGTGGGATTCCACAACAGTTTTTCACCAACTCTCCCTCCCCCAGCTGCTATTTACTGCCCAAATGAGGTGCTTTCAGTAGACAACACAAGAGCAGGGTGAGGACAACTGTGAGTGTTTTGACAGGAAAAGTAGTAGCAGCACTAGTATTCAAGCTGGCCTAGCTTAAACACCGTTTAATGCAGAAATGCTTTGCCTTGCCTGAATTCTAGATCACATGGAAGCTAGCTGCAATTGTCCCATGCAAAAGTAAAGTGTGTGCACTTAGAAGTACTCCTTGTATAAGCCCCATGACAAAGATGGGAAGCATCCATCTGGTGAGCCGGAGCAGGCCTCTTCCATTTGTAGCTCTCTGTTCCTGGTTAAAATTTGACCATGAGCAGCTTTCTGCCTTGCTAAAAAAAAACTCGACTCAGCAATAAAAAGATCCAGCACTGTTACCTTTCCAGGTGTCAGACAAGGCTTGCCAGCTGACGCTGCTCACTTTGGCAGTTGGGACATGCTTTCCTGGCAAACCCATCTGTTCGGGATGGCAAAACATAGGCCACAACACCTCCTTTCATTTCACTCTATTTTGTGCCAGCCCAGGGGAAGGACACAAGCTTCCTGGATTCTAAGACTTGTACATGCAACTTGAATCTCTAGCATGCAACTAAGTGTACACAAATGAGAGTATGTGGACATTTCTCATTTATGTGTGTATGTGTGCAAATATACTTGTTCCATGAACTGATGAGATCTAAACATGGCAATGTTGCATATTAGTAGTAGTAGTAGTTGTTCTTGTTACACTGTATTTATACTCCACCTTTTTTCCTCTTGTGAGGGGCCCAAGGCAACTTATTGTGTTTACTTGACAACAACTCTGTGGGGTAAGCTGGGCTGAGGGGGAGTGACTGGGCCAAAGTCACCCAGTGAACTTCATGGCAACTGAGTGGGGACTAGGATCCAGAGCTTCCTAGTCCCCAGTCCAACACTCTCACCATTACGTCACACTGGTTCTAGTTATGAAAAGAGTTACTCTTCACTGGAGACCATGATGCTTCACACACCCCATATCCCATGGGGCATGGTGGCCATGGGTTTCCATCCTTACCAGGGCTGGCACAGGCAAGGGCACATGCTCACTGGCTTTGTAGCGCCTCGCTTTGCGGATGGCAAATTTCTCTGTAGGTGGAGATTTTCCAGCAATCTTCTGCTTGAAAGAAGAAACCTGCCTGCAAGGCAAAGGGGGAGATTGCCACTGCAGCAACTTGAAGATGGAGAAACTCTGTGTTCCCAGAACTTAGTCCAGCTTGCCATAACTCCTTGGTTAGGCTCACCCACAGGAGCTTACTAGTGGCAGCACAAAGCACCAGGTTATAACTTAAAACCACTCCAGACACTTCAGTCCTCCAGCAGCACACATTAAAGAGTTATTTTGCCATGATATGGGTTGCATAGCAATGTGACAAACATTTGCAAAACTGGCAGCAACAGGTCCAAGACTATTTCAGACGCCTTACAACCAAAACAAAAAAGGACACCTTAGCCCAGGGATACACAGTCTTTGTGGACGTGGGTACATGTGGCAATTTAAGACATTGTCTCTGGCAAAGTGGCTTCACTGGAAGACATGAAAAGAACAACTAAGTTGCCTAGAAGACTGAGTGCAAGGCCGAGGTGAGGTTTGAGCCCCAACATGCTAAGCAGTTCCATTGAGCCTACAGTCCTTGGCACAAAGAAATCTCTCACACAGCAATCCCAACTCCTGCTAATAAAATGTCTTAAAAGTTGGAGACACCAAAAAAAGTGAATGTACATTGGTGGGCATCATATTGCTCTCCCCTGCCTTAGCCGGTTGTGCCCTCCCTCTGGCTACAGCCTTTTGTTAAACTTTCCCCAAGTTGCAGAAGCAAGCGGGCACCTTACCTAAAGAGCTCGACCTCTTCCTCCCCAAAAGGCCGTGGCTCCTCTGGGGGCAGCATGCTAAGGAAGGCAGCTTTCATGTAGACATACATTGCCTGCAGGGAAGCAGAAGGGACAGCTGCAAGGGCAGAAAGCGAGGGAGGGCTGAAACCAAAGGGCAACAGTGGCTGATTTCTTTTGGAGCCCATACCAGCTCTGGAACTCTTCTGACAGGGCTGGGAGAGCACAGATAGGAAAGTACATCAGCTGTAGACCTAACTCACCAGGATTCCCTGACTAAGAGTCTGAGGAGAGTCAGAGGGCCATGCAGTAAATGCAAAACCAAAGAGATCCCACAGCTCCAGAAGGCCCTGAAATCACTTCCATTCCAGATGGATGGAGTCTGGCTTCCAAGATGAATGAGGAAGAGCCCTCTGCACATGATCCACAGATTTACCCCATAGGGTGGGGAGAAGAGGATTGGGAACATATATGGTCTATTGGCAGTGTTGACCCTTGCAGGCCAAATCTGAGTAGGCCCTGGGTAATGAAATTTCCCTGTTGCAATGATGTATCAGCAAACAGGAAACACCAAGGGAAAGGAAAAACCCTGTAAAGCAGAGCACACATTGGAGGACCATCCTGGCAAGTAGCAAATCATCCCAGACCCCTTGTCATGTGGCCGAGGGTACTGGAATGAAACTCCAGTCCCACAGGATACTTGCAAAACATTTGGGACTGGCCCTCTTGTGTCCTCTGAAAATGCTCCTGGGGAATGTTTTACATGGGTGATCCAGTTCCAGGGTGGGCCTCAAATTCTAGGTCCTGAAGGAGACAAAGGTTCTCCTGTTCTGGCTGCAGATGCTTAGAACCCTGAGGTTCAGGAGTTGCAGGTCCAAAGGTCCAAGCAGCCTTGATGCTCTGTTGCCCCTTTTGGAGCAGGGTCTCCATTTTGCAGCATGGAAGCCTAACTTAAAGGATATTCTGCTATTAAAGTTTTTACACTGCCACCATCCCACAAATCCACTCATGCTGCTCAAGTATTTCCCACCTTGGACCAGTGGTTCTCCTTGCTCAGTAGATCTGCATAGAAGTAGGCCATCTTCCACATTCCTTTGTAGGCAAAGCACCACATCAGCTCCCAGTAGCACATGTGGTGAAATTGCTTCCAGGCCTGCTGAGCTGAGCAGCCTTCCTCAAACCGCTTGATGGCCTGAGCAGAGACGAAGAGATCAGCCGGAGAAGAGGTGACAGGCAGAGACAGTTGAACACTTCATACGGACCTGCATGGGACAGCCTGGGACTTGATCTGGTCTGGAAGCAAGATTCTCAGCCTTGTCATAGGGGAAGTACAATCAGAGATGTGTGTGTGCAGGAAAAATTCAGCTTTCTGAGAATCCTGGCTTCTTTTCTCTTTTTTAAAAAGCACATTTTAGCACTTATCACAGAGAAGATATATTTGAAATGGTTAGGAAATGCCTGTTGAAATCTCAGAAGCCAGAGAGATTGCTGAACATTTCCAGTGGTTCTGATGCATCAAGATATTTTTAATTCTGATGGCAGAATATGGGCAATGTTTCCCAAAAAGAAAACAGGCAAATACCAATGAAATGCATTTCTGTTTAATTGTTGAGAGGACCATGTGTGAGCCATACAACTGAAGGCTCTGTTGTGAACTTGGTATGAGGGTTTTCTGAATGTGTGATGGAATCCCTGTTTCATCTTCCACCTCAGCAAAAATCTGAGTCTGTGATGTGTCAAAAGAGGAATGACCAGAGGGGCAAAGAAGAGAATTGGGATGAGAAAGAGCAGAAAAGCTTGACTAACACTTTGGGAGTTCTTAGTGGGCAACACCGCAAATTTGCAGTCATCTCTCCAGTGCCACGTTATTCCGTAAACAGCTTGGTTATTCATATGCAAGCTCAGCACAAATTCCTATGCAGGTGTGGAAAGGTACCTGCTCTGGATCTAATTCTCAAGAAAGGGTCTGACCCGATTTCTGACAAGAAGAGGGTGTTTGGATTGAGGAACTCAAGCCCATGGTATGCTCTGCCAACAACCCAACAAGAGCACAAATCTGTGGGGCACCTTGGCATCCTCCAACTTGGCATCCTCCAAATGTACTGAACAACAAGTTCCATTACCCCTAATCAGCAACGGCCGTACTGACTTGACATTATGGGAGTTGTTGCCCAGCACATCAGGACAGAAGCACATTAAGGAACCTTCTCATGTAGTGGAAAGGAAAGCGAAGGCTGGGTTAAAGAGTGTAAGACTGCTTCAGCTACAGCCTCAAAGATATGCTAGATGAGCTCACTTCCTGCTTAGACAAGGCATCTCACCTCATTGATGTTCCCTTTGATCTCCTCTATCCTCCCGGCAAAGAACAAGAAAATGACACTCTGCAAAATGGAGAGAAAAGAGGCTCAGGAGGAGCAACTGCAAGAGACCAGGTACCCAGAGCCTTCAGCTATGAGCACTTCACACATACCACATATGGCCACATTTATCCACTTTCCACTTCCCCAGACCATGTGCACGCATGCAGGGGATCTCCAAAAACACACAGTAAACAAATACCCAAAGTAATTTTCAGCCTGTGAAGGCTTCAGGAAGGCTGGCTTAGGTCACCTGAGGCCCCATTGGATAGAAGCACCACCTGACAGGTATTTTCTACACCATTCCTGATGCCCCAGCCCTGAGTCCCCCATACTTCAGATTTTGAAAGCTGGGTACCCAATACAGCGGGCAGAAGGCAGAGGAATGAGAGTTTACCCAGCTCTAAAGCAGATCCCATATCCAGTGTACAGGATCTGCTTCATGCAAAATCAGACATGGGCAAAGGGCCAGGTACTGGGATTTCTACTGAACCCTCTGGGAAGGGAAGAGGTTTCTAAGAGATCCCCATTCCCAGTGGGACTGGGTCTACACACCTAGCAGAATGAGGTGGTTGAGTCTTGAAGTGAGAAGTGGCCACTTAAGACTGCAGGTGGCCATTTTCTGAATGCTTCCCCAAATGAAAAAAACCCCCTCCTTTCAAGAAGAAAACCAGCACATCAGGAATAACGGTTATATCTAGCCCATTCATCTCTCCATGGTGTGCTAGATGTCTGCTTACAAGAAGGTGTTTACAAAGGGGCAAATTTTTAAAAAATATATGATCCCCCACCTGCGGTCCGAAATGGTACAGTCCATTCTACCACTCCATTCCACTGAGTATGCAGATTCAGCCTAAGCCTTGAAAAAGCATGGGGCACAGAGAGGAAAGAAAGAGAGAGAGAGGAAGCAATCTTAATATAGCAAACATTCCAAACTAGAGGGTATGTTGTCTTTTATCAGAGATGAGAAAAGGTAGTGCTTAACAATACATACAGTTCCCCCCTTAACTTTCTAAGCATAGTAGCTAAGGTCCAAAAGATAAGGAGGCCCCAAAGATACAAAGATTGCATCCCATCCACCCCCACTTTAATCCAGGCACCCTGCTGCAGCCTCTAGACAGAGAAGCAACATCTTAATTCAACCTTCCTTCCAGCATAAGGCCCACTTCTAGGCCCCCCAAGACAGCCCTACAGCACACATGCCAGATAAGGGACCAAGGGAGCCTGCAGCATCCCATGGTCCAGCCAGTGCAGACTCTTACCTGAGGGTAGCGGGCGAGGTATGGACTCAGCAGGGACTCAGCCTCTGTAAAATCGTCTTCACCAATCCCTGGGCAGAACACAGAAAAAGGGAAGGACTGAGCTCCCTTCCATGGGGTGATCTCGGTTGAAGCCCTAGAATATCAGTAGATATTGCCAGAGCAAGGTCATAGTATTTTGCTGTTCCAAAGGGTTACACCAAGCGATCCTTGCTTCAGGATCCCTTGCCATATCCTGGGTGATGCTGGAAGCACCCTATGGACCACATGCTCATCTACAAAAATATTGCCTTTTGGGTCACAGGAGCTGTCAGGTCTACCTTAACCCTAAGTCAGGTCATGAAACCACTCTGGATGGTTTCTGCTGTACACTCCCAGGGTGTTGACTAGGATTAATAGCTCAGAAAAGGGAAATGCCTGAGTCCCATTTCCTGTGTCCTTCCCATTTCTTCCTGGGTCCCTGCCTCAATTGATGCAATTCATCCTTTGTGGTTAGAATAGAGATTGCCACCTGGCTGGCACTGAAATTCTCTTGAGCCCCAGCTGTGGAAAGGTTTCCTTCCTTTTTACTGACTGATTAATCAGTCACACACATTTACATACCACATCTCAAGTGCTCACAATATTTTGTTATATGTACATCCCATCTGTTTCCTTCCAAGGAACTCCAAGAGGCTTCTCCCACTCTTAATCTCATCCTCACTGTAACAATGCTCTGAAGTAGGTTGGCCTGAGTATCTGTGACACACCCAAAGTCACCCAGTGAGCTCCATGGACAGGTGGGGACTAGAACCCAGATCTCCTGAGTCCTGCACTCTTAAACATGACACCACACTGGCTCTCATTTTCTATAAATGATCTCAGTGCTCCTTAACACCATCACATTAAGTAGGCCAGTAAGCTTCTTCTTTAAGACCACCCAATACATTCACAGCTGGAAGGACATTTGACCACAGACTTCCTAGTTCACACTTAGCTGCTGCATGAACCAACCCTCCTGTCCCCTTTTTCCAGTTGTGCCATAAGCAGAAAGATGAGACTTGCACACCCTCCTTCCTCTCCGCCCCCGCAATACACTCTCCCTGTTCCACAAAAGCCCAGCTCTGTATCTAAAACACTTTGCACATATCCAAATGAACTAGCGCAAGCCAGTCACAAGAGGCGAAGCCGTATGCCACGCATTGGAGAGCAACTGTGATCCTAAGCAAAGCAGAGGAGAAATGGCATCAGCTGGGGAGAAGGGCCACAGATCTGCTACCAGCCTGTTTCTTGTTGTTCCTTAGCCTGCTGGGAAGGCACAGCATTACCTAAGATGAAGGTAAGGAAGGTGTAGTAGCACAGCAGCAGCATCGTGCAAAGCAACGCCCGCAGGTTGGGGGTGGTGGCTCCCTGATGCAGCTGTCGCAGGCCATAATCCTGGTAGGGCAGGAAAAAATAAAAATATTCAAACACGCTGGGAGTGGGGGTTGTGCAAAACATCACTTGGCAAATGTATTCAGCAAAGATTGGAAGAAAGAATGCATTATCTGGGCCCATATAGATCCAGTGGCTGCTGTCTAGTGAAAAGGCTGTGTATGCGTTAGATCATGGGTCCTCAAACTACGGCCCATGGGCCAGATATGGACCACCATGCTCCTTTATCTGGTCCGCCTCAGAGCTTTTGGACTCGCTCGGAGGAAACAATCTCTGAGCAAGTCCAAAAGCTCTGAGCCAGCACAGGCATACGAAGTGGGGACATGGCCACGGTCATGGTCGCACTCATGCAGGGAAGATGGGCACGATCACGGTCATGCTGGGGGTGGGGGGGAGATGGCCGTGATTGTGCCCACCTTCCCTGCACAAGCACGATCACGCCCGTCTTCTTCCCTGCATGAGCGCGATCACGTCCATCTTCCCCTCCCAAGCATGATCGCACCCATCTTGCCCCAGCTCCCCCAGCATGATCGCGGACATTGTAGCTATGTCCCTTGAATATGGACATGTTCTTCCCCACCTCACCTTGGGCTTCTGCTGCAGCCCAAGCGAGCAGAGCAAACATTTTTTAATTATTTTTTTTAATTTTAATTATTTTAGTTTATTTTAATTTTAATTATTTTAGTTTTATTTTAATTTAATTATTTTTAAATTTATTTAAATTTTAATAATTTTTAAATTTATTTTAATTTTAATTATAATTATTTTTAGTGTGCATAGGAATTCATTCATATTTTTTTCAAACTAGAGTCTGACCCCCCAACAGTCTGAGGGACAGTGAACTGGCCCCTGTTTAAAAAGTTTGAGGACCCCTGCTTTTGATCAAAGATATGGAGCAAGCACAGCCAGAAGCACTGCTGAGAGGTAATGATCTCTCAGAAACATGGACAAACCTCCCTTGGGGCAGAAAGACAATGGAGCTAGGGCTGAAGCAACCTCACATCTGCTGGAAAGGGCTCATACTACAACGTGCTGGGAGAAAACAGTGCTCAGCCAGCCTCTTCCAAGTCCTTTAGGGAACAATCCTATGCCAGTGAAGCCTCCCCAAGCCACATGCACCGCTCTCAGGGTTGCAACTGTACCTTGTCCCCTGAAAACCCTGCAAATTCCAGAAGTTTCAGGATCCGGGCTGGAAAGAGGGAGAGTGTCTGTAGAAGAAGGACATCAACATGAATGAATTATTACAGTGGTACCTTGGCTCACAAACGCCTTAGTTCACGAACAAATCGTGGTCCAGCTTTCACAGACATAACATTGCAACTGGGAAAACCATAGCCTTCACTATACGCACTTTTTTCAGCAGGGTGATGTCTTTGCTTTTTGGTATGCTGTCTAGATTTGCCACAGCTTTTCTCCCAAAGAGCAAGCGCCTTTTAATTTCTTGGCTGCAGTCCATATCTGCCATGCTCTTGGAGCCCAGGAAAATAAAATCTGTCACTACCTCCATTTCTTCCCCATCCATTTGTCAGGAAGTGATAGGACTGGATGCCATGATCTTAGTTTTCTTAATGTTGAGTTTCAAGCCAACTTTTGCACTCTCCCCTTTTACCTGCATCAAGAGGCTCTTTAGTTCCTCTTCACTTTCTGCCATTAGAGTGGTATCATCCACATATCTGAGGTTGTTTATATTTCTCCCAGCAATCTTAATTTCAATTTGTGATTCCTCTAGCCCTGCCTTTCTCATGATGTGCTCTGCATATACATTAAATAGGCAGGGCGACAGTATACAGCCTTGCCATACTCCTTTCTCAATTTTGAACCAATCAGTGGTTCCGTGTTCAGTTCTCACTGTTGCTTCTTGACCAGCATACAGGTTTCTCAAGAGACAAATAAGATGGTCTGGTATTACCATCATTCTCTTTAAGAACTTGCCACAATTGTTGTGATCCACACAGTCAAAAGCTTTAGCATAGTCAATGATGCCGAAGCAGATGTTTTTCTGGAACTCTCTAGCTTTCTCCATGATCCAGCATATGTTGGCAATTTGATTTCTAGTTCCTCTGCCTCTTCAAAACCCATATGTCCATTCAAGAGTGGCACCTGTATTTCTGGTCCCAAGCCATTTAGAGCTTTGCATGTCAAAACAAGCGTTTTAATTGGGCCCAGAACTCAACTGGCAACCAATGTAGGTGGCACAAGATTGGTGTAACATGGTCATGCAGGCTAGCTTTTGTCAACACCTGTGCAGCTCTATTTTGAACCAGTTGAAGTTTCTGGACTGTCTTCAAAGGCAGCCCCACATAGAGAGCATTACAATAGTTCAGTTATAGCCAGGGCAGGGATGACTGTTGCCAGGTTCTGTCTGTCCAGATAGGCCTGAAGCTGAAGGAAGGATCCCCTGGCCCCCAAGTCTACCTGAGGGATAGTGCTGGGTCCAAGAGCAACCCCAAGCTACAGACCCTGTACTTTAAGGGGAGTGCAGCCCCATCTAGGATAGTTTAGAGCCCCCTAACCTGTCAGATGATCCACCCTGGTGGTGGTGGTGTGTTTTTATTGTTCTTGCACTGGTTTGGGGGGTTTTATTGGTGTAAGCCACCTTGAGAAGTCTTCTGCCCAGAAAGACAGCCAAAAAATATTTTAAACGAATAAAATTAAATTGAATCCTCAGATAAAAAGGACAATTAAACATTTGCTAGTGTGGACACATCCTGATAAGCCACATTTCTGAGCCGATGGGCCCTCTGTACCACTTTTAGTTGCCATATGTGCACACGTTCACATATGTACACAGAATGTTTTGGATAATGTAGTCAAGAGGCACGCTGGAGCTTGGCTGAAGAATTTACTGTGAAATCCTCTAAAATCCCCAAATCTTGTGAATTTCAGGGAAAGGTAGTAGCTGGTACAACTAAGCAAACTAGAAGCCTGCAGTCAAACAACTGACTGGCTTGTTCAAATCAACATGTGCAATAGCGTTGGTTGGTTGTTGGCGAGCGACTGAGGCTCCAAGGGCTGCTCCTGCTCTTCGTGAAAGCTGGATGTGGCTCTGCTCATGACTAGCGGTTGTTGATGGGGAACAGCAAGAGGGAAAGGCACGTCTCTGTCCCCAAATAGAACAGGAGGCATTCTGAGGTGCCAAACAAGTTTCAGGAAGAGATTTCCCTCCTTGGGGCTGCAATTAAAATTCTGTTATAAAGCACTGTTAACACATTTAATGACTCCCAAGAACCCTAACCTTGTGTAAACATTAGAATAATAAATAACCACGGAAGCCACAATCTGTAACATATATACAGCATAACCCTTAAAATAAAACTGTTATCATGAAACTGGTTTTGATATTAATTCTATTTTATTTTTTTTGCATCCAGTTACTAGTGTGTAGAAATGCCAAAACGTCATGTTAGAAAAGCTTCCCGTTGCTTGTAAAAATTTGAGGTAAATTTAATACAAAATTGCAAAACATTCTTCATAGGTTAAAACTCCCCTAAAATCTGGAAACATGTCTAAAAATTGGGAGCCTTCTCCTCCATGAGTGTGTCTTATCCTTTTTTAAAGCCATCCAAGTTGCTGGCCATCACATTGTTCAGTTTTGCAGTGTGCAACAAAGTGGTTCTCCTGCACCTCCTCCATGTTCACCCTCACTAGCCTTCTTTCAAATTAAGCAGCCCCAACAAAAGCAAGCTTCCCTTGCAGGGGGGTTGCTTCAGTCCCTTGACCATTGCCCTTTCCTGCTTGCCAGCTCCGCTGCCTCAGATACTGCAGGTGTGGACCTGCTAGGGATATGGTTTGGAATGCAGGAAACAGAGGCCAGAGAGAAGGGACCTGGGACACTCCAAGCATGCTGGAATCCAAGGCTTATAAGCAACTGTGGCCTGCAGCAGCTTGGCACTCCCAGCAATGACTGTGCTTCCTGCCTTCAGTCCTTCTCTGTTGCAAAATTTAGCAAGGATGTCATAGGGCTTCACTCTCTCTCCTCCAAGAAACCTGATTCTGAAAGGGCTGCCCACTGACCTTGCATCCCAGCACAAAAACAGTCCAATGTGATGGCAGGGGGAGTAAAAAACAACTGCAGAAAGCCCCAGGATTCCTGTTTGCTAACTCAGTTTGTGTCCCCGTGCTTCTAAGATGCTGTGGAAGCACACTCACCAGATTGAAGGCACCAATGCCCAGTGCAATTCCCCCTTCAAGATGGACACGAGTAGAGTTTCCTGGCAACTGACTGGGTTGAATGAAACTGTTGAGCTCTCTAAAAATATAAGAGGGTTAGGTAGTCCCACTGCACCCTCCCCTCCAGGAACTAATCCACAGAAACAAGGGGTGGCAGGTCCTAGCTCACATGGCTTCCACCCACTAGTGTCTGGACAACTCTCACCGTGGCCTCAAGCGACACATTTCAAACATTTGTTACCATTATGTAGTGGTGGGCAAGTTCAGGCAGTCTGAAGTGAATTCTTGTTCTAGATCCCTGCCAACATGGCTATCCTATCTTCTCTGAGACTCTCATGAATCATAATTGCTTCCCACTGCTTTAAAGTTCCTAGCAGGAAGTGGGGAAATATGGTCTGTGGCCCACACCCATAGGAATGACAAGGAGATGTGGATTCACAGGGTGGGTTTGCGCAATCACTGAGGGAAATGAAGCTCTGGTGGCTTATTTTTCCTGCGGCATGTGTCAATCACATGCTCCAAACTAGCCTTGTGGAGCACAGGTTGCCAGACATGGAATCACAGAAGAAGAGAGATGGAAGGTGCCGGAAGGCCAACGGACCCAACCCCCTGCTATTGCAGGACACTAAGTTATACCATCCCATTCAGATGACTGCCCAGATGCTTTCTGAATGCCTCCAGCCAAGGAGAGCCCAGAACTTCCCCAGGTAAAAGGTTCTACTGTTGAACTGCTCTGACAGTGAGGAAATTCTTCCTGGGGTCTAGTCTAAATCTGGTTTCTTTTAACTTAAGTCCATTATTCCATGTCCTGGACTCTGGAATGAGTGAGAAGAGAGCCTATCCTTCCTCTGTGACAGCCTTTCAGGCACTTGTAGAGTGCTATCATATCACCCCTCAGTCTTCTCTTCTTGAGGCTGACCATGCCTACTCTTTCCTCATCTGAACCCAGAGAGGACAAGTGGAACAAGGCATGGGTGGTCCCAGCCTAACCTTCCACACAGCCTAGTTCTGAAAGCAAAAGAGGGGTGGGGGAAGTTTATGAGTTTTACCTTGTACTCCTTGGAAGAAAGGGGGTAATAAAGAAAATCAGACAGTTAGTGCTAATCTGGCAATGAGAACCAGTGGACAGGTCTTCACTTTCTTCTTAGCTACACACTATCTTTCATCAGCACTTCATGGAGGAAAGACATTTGCAGCCTCCAAAAACTCCAAAGTATTTTCCTGACACTTTGTGGGACTCCCCATTTCAAGCACTACAGGAAGGACTACATCTCAGCCTCTCTTCTCACCCACTGCTTTGATCCTTAAGAACCCAAAGACAACAGAAAAGATAAATGATTTCATACAGTGTTCTGGGGGCTATGCCCTTTCACACGGGAGTGAAGGAGCATGTCTGTGTGCATTAAGTGGGTTAGTACACAAACATGTGCATGTGTGCATGCCCACTAACTCAACCTCCCAGCACATGGAAAACTAGCAAGTCAGGGGAAGGCCTAAACCAAAACAATTCTGACAGTTTAATATTCCACATTTGATGAATTTTGAAGTAGGATATATTTTAAATACTATGCTCACCTACTTTGCATACTGAATTTGTGCATACCCAGGGTCTCTGCATAATCTGGATTTATCTGCCTGCACATCATTGGCTCAGAGACTTTCCCATTGCAGAACCTCACATGATGAGCCTCTGATTTCTCTCATGCCTTCACCTGGTGTTACCTCCCATTGCTACCTTGTGCTACTTGATTTAAATCCTGCTGTTTTTCCAGTCCTGCCAGCTGCCAGAACAACTTACCTGTAGATGAGGTAGCTGCTACGCACCTTGATCCCTCCTTTTATGAAATTCACCATTTTTTCATCCTATATGAAGAAAGCAGGCTTTAAAAAGTCTTAAAGGGCAGCAAGCAACCCAGTAGCCTGGTTTAATGTAGATAAGCCTGGGGGCTAATTCTAGCTTTCCAGGGATTCCCAGAATCCCTTCCATTCCCTGCCCTACCCTCCTCCCCAACAACCACTCATTTCATGGTTTTCTGACTTTTGTGCAACTCTCCCCCATGCTGAAATGCTGAGATGCCTCTTCTAAGGTTTAGCTACTTGCAGTAAGAGCTTTAAGCTACAGCGTGCTGATATTTGTAGCTTTTTGAGCACATCCCTTATGCTTTTAGTCCAACCTATCACTAGAATCTAACCCTGCAAGAGCTTCTCTGAAACAGATTTTGGACCTTGGGCTGAAAAAGAGAGCCAGTGCGGTGTCGTGGTTAAGAGCGTGGGACTGGGACTCAGGCGACCTGGGTTCGAGTCCCCGCTCAGCCATGGAGCCAACTGGGTGACTTTGGGCCAGTCACAGGCTCTCAGCCCAACCTACCTCACAGGGTTGTTGTTGTGGGGATAAGATGGCTGAGGAGATGTAAGCTGCCTTGAGCCCTTTGTAGGAAAAAGGCAGGATATAAATCGAAAAATAAATAAATAAATAAATAAATAAATAAAGGCTCTGCACCCCAATGAGACTAATACAAGCATCCAACATGGTGCAAGTCCTGAGGTATCCCAAAGGGAGACTGACAGCACAAACTAATCTCAGGACTGTTTCTGCTCTTGCCTTACTTTTCCATAATGCAATCTCACAAGGTGTGGGCTCCCTTGAACCAGGCCACCATCCAATGACAGCCAACAGGCAAGCATACAGGCATTCTTTTGCTCTTTGCTGCCGATTTAATCTTGCTTTTACTGCTTGTTGTTTGTAGATTGCGAAGATTGTGTATGAAGTATTGTGCATCATAAAGCACCTGAGAACTTGTGCGATATAAAAGTGCAATATACAAACAGTACACAGCCACAGGAGCACTGCCACGTGCATGTATGGACCTGTTGAGTGGGATGCTAATGCATCCCTGTCATTCTAGAAAAATAGAACAGGAACCAGAATACGCTCCCTTCCTAAAGGCAGCCATTCTGGGAAAGAGACAGGAGAAGTGAGGCAGTGCTATGGGTGTTCTCTTCAGCTAGCTCCTGTGACGATCATAAAGTTCTGAGTGTAAGATCTTCTCTCTCCGTCCCCCAGGAGTCTCACACCCTCCTACCATGTGCTACCTTACCACAGTTTCAGAATAGCTGCCATAAGGAACAGATATTGCTGCTTGTGCTCCTGAAGGAAGAAGAAGGGCTCCCCTTACCTGAAGAAAGGTGAGGGCTGCCCGGTGTAACAAGCATTCTGCATAACACACTTCAGCATGCAGCTCTTCTGTAATGGCAAAGAAACAAATCTGGGGAGGGCACATATCATTTCTAACCATGCTTAACATTCCTCCATCAGTTATCCCTGATGGCCACACAGTCACCCCAGGTCTGCAATGAAAACTGTCCATGAAGAATAGAAAACCAATGAGGGATAAACAATATATATTATAGTCCAATGTATTTCAGAATGGCTGTTCATCAGAAAAATTCAGAACAAATTATTTTTCAAATTTGAATATGCTGGCCTGTCCGTCTGTTCAGGCACCCCATTGTTTTTCTGCTCTTGCTGGTTTATTTTTGGGGTTCCCATCTGGTTGGACAACACTGAAAGGAGGATCCTCAAGCGGAATGCCCTAAATACCTTTTGGGGAGTAGATGAGAACCATGACCCACTGGTGGAAAGCCTCTACTTGCTCTATCTGTTCCCTTGCACAAGCCAACTTCTGCCCACAGACAGTGATGTGAGGATGCCCACGCTAGATCAGACCAGGTTCCAGGTGATCCAGCCCTCCGCTTCAAGCAGCTGCCAGTTAGAAGACTCTGGGAAGTTCACAAATTCTAGATCTCTCCACCCTTTGTTGAACCCAATGGACTTGACCTCCACCATCCTATGCTTTTACTCTTCTCACCCTCAGTACAGGTGTCTCCACCTAGTCGACTGGAGAAGGAGCCAGCCACAGTGCTTTTCTTCCGAAACCTGCCAGATAAACCAAAAGGTGCACAGTTAGACTTCCATCTCCTGCATCCTTCATCCCCAGTATATGCCTGCAAGGAGAATCTGCATTCTTTCTTTGTGCCCCACTGAGGACAACAGTGAAGATCCCTCTGTTTCCCCTTCAAGACTGGCTGACAATCACTCCAGCCACACCTCTGCTTCTTGGTTCCTCTTTCAAACTATGGAAGGGAATAGTGCTTAAATAAACAGCAGCCGCAGGACCAGATGATTTTGTTCTTTCCTGTAAGCAGCTGGAATGGTTAATTCCTACACTTGGATCAGAAGAGAACTAAATACCCACCTGCCAGTGCAGCAGCCAGGTCAGGCTTCAGGGACAGTCCCTATTTGAAAGAAACATTCCCTGCCTGGCAGAGATCCCACATTGTAGTTACAGAGGCAAGCCCTTTGCCCTTGCCCCAGAGTAGCATACAGAAGCAAGCTCTAGGCCCAAGCCAGTTCTCACCTTTGGCAGATCTCCTGTGCATTTTTCATGGTGTGCCCAGCCTGGATAATGTCCTCATGCTCAAAGGTCATCATGGCTTGCATCTCCAGAATGGTGGCATAGATTAAAGCATGGTACATGCTTTCTCTGGCCCTGCAAAAGGATCCACAGCAATGGCAAAAGGGAGAAGGCATATGGCTTCCACTATAGCCTTCCCTATCCTGGTGCCCTCCAGTTCTGCTGGACTGATTATTAATCATATTATTTATTACATTTCTATACTGCTCATAGCCAAAGTTCTCTGGGCAGTTTATGATATATCTGGAGGACCTGGCTTAGAAGAGGCTGATCTATGTGTTAAGATGGCAGCAGGGTGTATGGAGCTTTCTCCAGGATTCTTAAATTTTGTCCTGTGGAAAATCTCTCAGCCAAAGGAAAAAGAGGAAAACCATTTGAACTTCACCTGCAGAGGTATAATTTTGTTGCTTTACAAACCGTGAAATCGATGCAGTATTCTTGACAACAATGCACTGATTCATAAAGATGAACGTAGTTAAGTTCGAATGTTTTGAGCAAACTAAGAACCTCCTGATAAGCTCAACAGATGTCTGTTGAGTTCAATGCATGAATTAAAGTTCAAGCCAACTTTGTTTCATTATAGCTACTTACTAAAATCTGCTTATAACGGCATATGTTAGAATTGTTTCATATGAGGATTTTATTGTGCAATTGCACTGCCTGATTCACAGAATTTTACAGTGTTTTCCTACAGTTTCTTTCATCTTCCTTCTTACCTAAAAACTGTTTAGGAGGGAAAGATGGAGTAGGTACAGTTCAATATTTACAGTGCAGTGTCCAGTGCAGACTCCTCCCAAGGTACCTGTGGGCACCCATTTTTTAAAAAATCCTATTTTTATATACTTTTTGTATGAAATGTATATGACATTCTAACAATTGGCCAAAGCAGGCCAAATATCTAAATAAGTGTCAATTTGAATTTGGTGTCAATAAGCCACTCATTCATTTATAAAAAAGTATATAAAAAGTCCTCAATTCATGAAATCACAGGAAGCGAGTATTTTACCTTTTACTTTTCTAATAGCAGTCTTTGGCACAAAGAATCCTTTTATGCTGACCATTAGTCAATTTCCATGAAGCTGGTAAATAATTAAGTGACTATTAAAGACTGTTCCAATACAAAATGTATATCTGTACTAACTTCCTTTCAATCAGAAGCAGCTACTGGACATTGCAAAACATATATTCAAAAGACGCAGTAGCTGCACCACCAGCAATAAGCTAAACAATAACAATCCTTCATAAAAGTGACATGGCAGTGTCTGATACACATGGAGATTTTTGCTGAATAAGATGCAACCTAAGAGCTGTAGACCCAACTGGTAGATGCTGAAACAGTGATCCAGTTACTAAGAATTTTGTGGTGGTGCCCACAGCAGTTTTACAAATTCTCATTTGCTCACATCTCCAAAATGGTTGGGGGCCTCTGAGCTGTAAGTGTCTTTTTATTAAAAATACTAGGAGTTGTCTGTCTGGAAGTGAGAGGGATCCAGTTCTCTCAAGAATGGAAGTCCACCTTTCATGGGGACAAGGCAGAAAGGGGATCTTCGTAACAGAACGCAAGGTCTTTACAACATTCTTCTTTTTCTTTAGGAAAACCAGAGTTCTTCTTTTCATCAGTTCATATTTCCCTGCCCCCTTTTCTTCTTCCACTTTTCATGGTGAAGGCAGGAGCCATGACCACTCGTAAAGATGGGTTGGACCTTATGCGCTTTCATTTTCTAATACGGATGAATGCATAAATGGTGCAGGATCAATATCATAATGTGCACAGAATATACTTTTTGTTTATTTATTTAATGCTTTTATATACCATCCTTCACTAAAAGTCCCAGGACAATAATACAATGAAATAAAAGTACAGCACCGGGCAACAAATTACATCAGATAAAAACCCCATCTTAAAACACATTAACACTTAAAAAATCAAGAATAAGGTTTTGGCCTGGCACCAAAATGAAAAAATAAATAAATAAATGTCAGCGCCAGGCACATCTCTCTGGGAAGCATGTTCCATAACCAGGGCACCACCACAGAGAAGGTCCTTCTCCAGGTAATCACTCTTCTGATCTCCTTCAAAGGCTCCTGAAGAAGGATCTCCAACTCTGATCTTAGGGAGCAGGCAAGTATGTATGGAAGGAGACACTCCTTCAAATATTCAGGTCCTAACCAATTTAGGGTTTAACTAAGTTCAAAGTAGTTAAACTTAAAATAAAATTTAGACCACAGTAAGAAACAATTCCCTAGATCCATCAAAATGCATTAAAGAATTAGCCTAGAATGTGCACCTGTCCAATGTTTCATTTCATACCACGAAAACTGTAATAAACAGTTTTTCCCATTCACCTTTCCAGTTTTTATCCTGTTTCAGATGCCCATTACAACAGCCTTACTCCATGTTCTTCTCCCGAACTATGTCACTCAAGCACCTTTACAGAGCCTGGTCCAGAAACAAAAATGATGGGAGCTACCTGGCTGTCCCAAAAGGCACCTCTGCTCTCTCCCCAACAACACATGTCACCACATGCCAGATTTCTGCACCCCAAGGAATGGCAGCCAGGGCAGAAAAGCTCTCGGCAGGGGGCTGCTGTCCCAGTGGCAGCACTTTGCCACCTGTGAGCATAACAGCCATGAGAGCAGCTAGCATAAGCAAGGCTTCTTTCTAATGCAACTCCTCTTACCCTAACATCCAGATATGTGGGGCTTTTTAAGATTGCTTCAACAGATGCCCAAGCAGGGTTCAATTATTAAGCTTGGCTCAATCTGCTCAGTTCTTAGACACTATTAGGAACATTAGGGAGCTGCCCTGTTTCTCAGTTCATCTAACCCAGTATTGTCTACACCAACTGGCAGCAGTTCTCCAGGATATCAGACAGGTGTTTTTTCTGCTCTGCCAAGAGACGCCAAGAATAGCACCTAGCACCTTCTGCATGCACAGCAGGTGCTCTGTCACTGTGCTGTGTCCCTTCCCCTTCCTTGGAGCATCTTTTCTACCCTATATAAAGTCAATCTGAAAACAAGAGCAAGAAGTTCCTCTTGAGGGATTTAGATAGCTGCTTGGCTTTCATCATATAGAATATTAAATATAGAGATATCTGCAGAAACTAGGTAAAAATTACCTCTTCTTTTAGGAAACCAAGTTTTTAGCCCTCATTCTTTTACAGGGGAAAAAAGAAATAATATGTTTTTGACAAACCCTTTGAAACAAATGAGGCTTTGAGTAGTTGTCAGGACACATGCACAGTTTGCAGCCCCTCCAGCAGACTGCACAAACCTTATTCTCCAATGAGTGGTTTGAAGCTGCTGCTGGTGGTGATGACAGTGGGGGTCGGAGGCTTCAACCTAAGTGGGGCAGTGCATCCACTCCAGGAGTGTTTGAACTTCTAAAGAGCTATCCATAGTACCTGAGTCATATTCCGAAAATACATTCAGAGCTGATATATCACCTCACAGACACTGGAGCCAGCAGCCTTCAACTGATGATTATCATACTAAAGCCCTCCTTTTCCAACTAAACAGATTTAGTGCATTAACAGAAAAATGAACTGTGGGAACCAAACAAATTGCTTTTCCTTTGAATCCAGTTCACCTGACAACCCTTAGACTGCCCTTCTTCCATCCCACTCCAAAGACTTCCTTTATTTGAGTTATGATCACACAGTTTGGATTTTCTGAGTCCAGGGTATCGGAGGAAGATTTAACACAGATCTAACGCAAATAAGAACTCTGGCTGTTACACAAGCGTGGAGAGGCTCGGTGCAGAGGTGACTGCTCTGGGTGCTTCCCACACTCACCTAGGCTGCAGCATCTCCAGGCTCTCACTGAACTGGTTACACAGGAAGCAGTTCAGTGCCTCTGTGCACTCAGCCAGAGCATTCTCCAGGGAGCTGCTGCAGAGAAAGAAAACACAGAACAAAAGAAACCTGAATTAGCATAGCCAGGCATAGCCCAAGGGCTTTTTGCAAGATCTGCCCACCACAAAGAAACATGGTCAAAGTAGCCAGCCATGAAGGAAGCATCCTACTGGGAAGAAGGAGCTTAGACAAGATAGGCCATATTTAATTTTTAATTCCTTAGGGACATTTATAACCAGCAACTTTTGACGTGCAAGTCAGCATGAGCCACTGCAATGTTTTTAAGTCACTCCAGGTGATACTTCCTGAAATTGCTAAAAGAACATGTGTGTTTGGGGATGAGTTTAAGAACAGTGAGAGATTGGGAACTTTGGGGCAGCCCCTATTAATGCCTCTCTAGGGGTTCTCACTGTAGACATTTCATGCATGGGTGACACACAGTCTGAAGGACATTAGTGACTCTCATATACACAGGCCCAAGAGGATGGGGTCAGGAGGAAAGAAGTATATTTAGTACCAAGACCTAGAGATTTAGGAACCATAGCTGAAGCTGCAATTCTATTACCTTGAGGGGGAACAAAAGGTTCAGATATCTGTAATGCCTGAGAAAGTTTATGGAAGCTTATTTCCCTGTATCCATGCTTTTATTGTCCAGGCTGTTAGATTTGCTGCAGCCAACCAGAGAAGCACTAGTAGAACACAAACACATTCTGAACACTGTGGTACATTGCTGGCCCAGGGCCTTCTCTGGAACAGAGCTGATGCTTGTGCAGTTGAAGTGAAACTTGTAACTTGAGACACAGATAGATTTGTGGCTCCCTGAGCAATATGCACCCTCAAGAACTACCAGTCCCAGAGTTCCTTGTGCTGTACAGGCAGAAGGGAGGAAGAAGCATAATAATTAGGCATATTGATTGTAGGGGCAGCAGGAACTAGGGCTGTTAGTACAATTTATAAACCCAAAATATATTTGAGCACATTTCTGATTCACTTACACTCACACATTCCTCGTAATGGAGGAGAAGATTATCTGAACTTGTGCTACTAAACTTGTAGGCTAGGTGCTACCTCCATTTTTAAGGGATGCATGCCTGCATACACCAGCTGCTGAGGAGGCTGGACAGGTGGATCCCTGCTGGAGGGATCCTGCGGGGAGCTGGTTTGCTGCCATGTGAACAGAGTGCTGGACTGGATGGATGATCCAGCATGGCTTTTCTTATGTTCTTACTGCTATAAATACACATCATGAAATTATGCATGGGTTGGGATCATGGTATATACATGGGAGGGGACCCATGTTGCAAATTTGTGCTAGGCCCCTCAAAAACTGATGGCTGGGGCCTGTCTCCAAAAGTTTTTGGAAGAGAAGGGTGAAGACAAGTCTATATGGACTAAGAGCTTTAGGGATTTATCAGTCAAACATATCAGTTCAACGGGTGCCCAAAAGGCAATGGGAAGGACTTGGAACATTTGAATAGCAAGGAAGTGAGGTTCCTAGTGGAGAACAAGTGGAAATTTGGCTTGTAGGGGCAACTCTAGCTCTCTGAGGGCCTGCTGACTCAGTCCTGACTCAGCTTCTGGGCATGGCTAGAAGCAAGATATGGTCAAACCAATGGAAGCTGAATGCAGATAAGATTGAAGTCATGATGGCTGACAGACCATGTGACCTAAGGAGCAAAAGCGCCCTTTATAGATTTGAGTTTAGTACCCCCTATCCGTCCTGCTTTTAATTTTGTGATGCAGGCAGACCACTTCTTGCCTGGCAAGCCATATTAAATGGCATTCTACGAAGTTCCAGAGTACTGGATGTGGGCAGGTTCTACATGCCTCCCTCCATCTTCATTGCCCTCCTCATGTTGAGGCTGACAATCTGCAGCAGAGAGCCCCCTCTCTCCATGGACTTGGGTGGAGAAGGCCTCCAACTACAGACTGTCACTCTCAACAGGTGGAGGAGCAGGGCAAGCACTCTCACATGGAGAAAGCCTCCTGTGTTTGCTCTGCTTTTCCAGCAGGCAGAGAAGACAGCAGGAGAAGCGGAGTCTTCTGTAGTATAGAATAAGAACAAGTATTTTGGTCCCCCTGTCAAGAGCAGCATTCAAAATGTTTTGGTGGTGGTTGCATTACAGAATAATATTCATTAAAGCTTTTGCACTAATGTTTGTTTTTGGACATGAGTAATTTGCAACAAATGATAATTTGTCATCTATGCCAATGACAGAATCCACCCAACACCCACAAAAATATTTTGTTTTTTGAAAAAGAGAGATAAACAATATGACCCCATTTAATTGCTCCTCAGATTCATCATGTGCCTTATTCTGCACAGGGCTATCTGAACAGAGAGGGAGCACAGTCACCTGCTCTATGGCTTGACCTAGGAATTTCTCCCCTGGATCCTGTCTCACACTAACAAGGAACCACCCTGGGGCCTTACTGCTTCCTCCCCTCCTGTTGAAGCAAAAGGAAAGGCCCCGAAGTTCCGTTCGACAAGGTAACCCGTCAGCTCCCTTGTGTGCTTGCTCTGCTCTTCCAGCAAGCATGGCATTCTCATTTCTGAGAACACTAAGCAAACACAGGCTTGGCAAGACCTTTGCCAGCACATCCACCCCACCTTATTCAAACAGGACTGGGGCTTCATAGGCAGGACCTAAGTCAATCTTCCCCTGGTAACACTGCAGACAGTCTTGTGTGATCTTCTGATGCACAGAGATGTTGAGTAAGGGAGCAGAGCTATAACTTACTGGTCCCAAGTTCCATTTTTGGCTTATCATAGGACTGTGTGGTGCTGCCTCACGAGCTGGGTCCAGCTTAATGCCATCTCCACCAAGGAAAAGCAGCCTGGCACCCTCTAGATTTTAGGATTACAAATCCCATTTCCATGTCCACTGGCCATGTTGGATGGGGCTGATTAGAGTTGTCATCGAAAACATTTGGACAACACCATGTTGCCCATCCCAGGTGTTCACTGACTGGCAGAGTTCTTCACCATTTCAAATAGATGACTTTTCTTACCTTACTCAGAGATGTCAGGGACTGAACCGTGGGACCCTTTGCATTTACAAAATACTTTACCCCTCCACTGTAGCCCATCCCCTTAAAATTACAGCCATTCAGTTAAAAGACCTCAGGCAGAGAATGCTGTGAGTGCTCTTCAGCTGGATACCCCTCCACAACCTGAAACCTAACTCCTCTGCAAATTCTCAGGGATCCTGGACAACCCTGATCTTAAGTGCAGGGACATGAAAAGGGTACCTCCCTGCAGTGTTCCAGTTAAAGTGCTACCTATGTTGAAGCATTGCCTGCAAAGCAGTGCTTTAAATCAGAAACAACCTGACCAAAATATAGGAGTCACAGGGATCAATAACCAGATGGTGACAGCCCTGTATCTTCAACCTGAACCCATCTCAGTCCAAGCATTACAGTGCAATGTGGAAGCCACAGCACAATTTTCCATCCATTTCAAACTGGCCCAGTGTAAAACCCATGCAAGGCACACTATGATAAGGGAGAAATTGTTGAGTTGTGCCTATAGAGAAGCATGAAGATAACTCACTGTCTGCAGTAAATAAGACCAGCTACAGGGCTTATTTTGGGGGCAGGTACCAATCCTAGAATGACACCAGATTGTGGGAACAAACAATGGTGCCACTGATAGTACTGCTTGTATACAGCTTCTTGGGGGCATCTGACTATCAGTTATCAGAAATGAGCTAGATGCAGGCAATGGTTGGATATGGGTTGTTACTGAACTGTGGATTACCATGTTGTCTGAACCCAGCTGCACTAATAAATCTTGGATGGTTAACAGTTTAGGAAGATAGCCCATGATTTGTTGTTGGATTGTGAACTGTGGATTATTTGTGGATAACCTGTTATGGTGTGTTAGAATTAAAAGTTTAACAAAAACCCATACTCAACCCATGCTTATGAGTGAGTTACTGTACTGTCTGAACCCAGCCTATGTCTCAAAATCTAAACAATGCATTTTAAAATTAAAAATTCAGCATCCACATAGCAATATCTGAGTTTTATGTTTAGTGTATTTTTGTCCTTTCTTTTTCATTACTGAAATTCTGCTTTGCATACAGAGGAGAGAGAATCTTCTAATCTGGAGATCAGGAAAAATAGGTTTTTGAAAAGAAAAAGATTCTGTTTTTTTGCAGTCCTAGATGGTCCCCAAAAGCATGCCTTATACTTCTGGTTCTCTCTCCTTTTCAGTGAAAGGAGAGGTATTAGTGAAATTGCATGTACACTGCTATCAAACAGGTATCTGTTGGGTGGTGAAGGAGTTAAAGTAATCTCCTGCAACTCAGAATCCACCATATGTTGTGCTCTTTAACTCCCATCAGCTCCAGCCAGCATGGCCAATGGCCAGGTCTGATGGGAGTTGTAATCCAAAATATCTGGACAGCACCAAATTGGAGCAGGCTTCCTGAATGCCCCCCCAAATTTCTAATCCACACAACAAAACCCTACTTTAATATCTGATTAAGATTTACTTCACAAAAGGGGCCATGAACCCATATCCTCCAGCCCAATTCAGCGCCATTCACAGACTCCAGCTTCCCCTGCACAGCACGAGAGAGGGCAGAGACGAAGAACTGGTAGAGATAATGAAGCTGCATCGAGCCCGTAAGTCAAGCGGGCTGTACCCCACTGACTATCCAGCAGGAACCCTTAGAGGAGCATCGGTCTTCCAGGACAGTAACACCACCCTACATCTCCCACAGCCCTGCAATCTGTCCCGTTCTCTGCCCCCCTCTCCACTACGCCTGCCCCATTACCATTTGGAGCGCTCTGGTCGCCCTCTGCCACGCAGCCACCCCTCCTACCGGGCAGAGTGAGGCAGCAACCAGCTGTTGGGGAGGGGGTGGTCAGGGAAAGGGAGCAAATTCTGCGCTGTGCCACGGACTCTTGCTGTTGTGTTTCTGCTGCCGGCGTGGGGCCTCTGTAGGATTTCCACTAAAGAACTTGACTGGGTACGTTGCGCCTTGGCTTAACGTGGTGGGGGGGGGGAGGGAACCGTCGCTGCTGTT